AGGAATACGACATCTGAAACCCATGTCCAGGAAGTGGTGAATCTTGATGCACTGACTCCAGCCTCAGTGCACTCCTTGTGAAAGTCCCCAACACTTTTTTATTTTTTTTTGACATTCTTTATTTTTGTTGCATCTTGGTGGTATTACAACTTTAACAATGGTAATTGACACATTTTAACAAAGTTCAATAAACTCGTATACAGTTCAGGGTTTTCAAGAACCTGGACATGTCAGTAGGGTAGGGTTGGTCTTTTCAGTGGGGTTCAGTCGGGATCCCCGGGCAAGTCAGGGTGAGTTCTTGGTATGGGCCTGCTGGTGGGGGTAGTACTTGTGCGTACTGAGTTAACGAGTGGTTGGCCCAGAGTAGTTCGTGTAGACCTGTGTGTTGCTAGGTACCCGCCATTTACTGCTTTCAGCTGTGTGTCACCCCTGTCTACGCGGGGTTGAGATGGGGGTCCCCAACACTTTTGAATGGCCTTTTCCTGTCAATCCTCTCCAGGCTGCGGTAATCCCTGCTGCTTGTGCACCTTTTTCGTCCACACTTTTGCCTTCCACATAACTTTCTATTAATGTGCTTTGATACAGTACTTTGGGAACATCCAACTTCCTTCGCAATTACCTTTTGAGGCTTTCCCTCCTTATGGAGGGTGTCAATGATGGTTTTCTGCACAACTGTCAGGTCAGCAGTCTTACCCATGATTATGATTCCTACTGAACCAGACTGAGAGACCATTTAAAGGCTCAGAAACCCATTGCAGGTGTTATGGCTTACTTAGCTGATTACAGTGGGACACTGTGAGCCTAGAATATTGCACCTTTTCACAATATTCTAATTTACGAAGATTGTGGATTTGGGGTTTTCATGAGCTGTAAGCCAAAATCATCGCACTTATGACAAATCACGGCTTAAACTATCTTGCTTTGCATGTAATGCGTCTATCTCATATATTAGTTTCCCCTTTCACGTTGCATTACTGAAATAAATGAACTTTTTCACGATAGTCTAATTTTTCGAGTATCACCTGTATATAGCGTATTCCACAGCGCTTTACAATAAAAGGGGAATTTCCAAATGAGACAATAACAAAATGTAACAGGAACAACAGGTAGTTGAGGACCCTGCTCAAACGAGCTTACACTCTAGAGGAGGTGGGGTATAAAAACACAATAGGAAGGGTATTGAGGTAGACAGCAAATAGACATGGTGGGAAAGTAGCAGAACTAGAGGTGAGAGTGGAGTATGGCCCTTTAGGAGAGAGCAAGAGGAAGGTTTGAGAGATAGAAGTTACTCTTGGAGACCATAAGCAATGCTGAAAAGATGGATTTTGAGGGATTTCTTAAAGGATTGAAGACTAGGGGAGAGTCTTCAACACTGATCTTGGCAGCTTCCAAATGTCTCCAAAGACGTTCAGTTTCCCTAAAGATGTCTTCATTAGAGAATTTGTCAAAAATCTCAGTCAATTTTGGGGTATAATTACAAATATCTTTCTCTGTTGCCACAACCAGAGAGTTTGGCTGAATAACAGCAAACATTGAAAGGATTTTTTCAATTGCCTGGGAACGAATTTCCAACTCGTGATGAAAATGATCAAGGCACTCAAACATAGCCCTTTTCATTTCCTCTGGCAATGTGAGACCAGCGTCCTTTGCATTCTCTCCTGGCATTGTTTTACGGAGCTTTACTCTCCTTCTTCTTTCCATAGAAATGTCCATTTTTTTACATGTAGTAGTTGCATAACGGAGCGCTACGGAATCTGCTACATAAATGGCAATAATAAATAAATAAATAAATAACAAATGGCCTTCTCCACAATTTCACTGCGCTGATCTGCTAGAAACGCTTTCAAACCTTGTAGTTTCACAATGCACTTTTCAAGAGAGTCCCACTGTTTGAAAATATTTCTGGTAACACAAAAAAAAAAAATCACATACGGCAGACAGCAACATCTGAGCCGATCCTCTTGTGCCCACATTTTCTTTGGGATTACACAATTTTTCAAGGGCTGAAGTCAGTTTTTCAAAATTTGCCCTCACTGGCTTCACAGCATCATAATGAGCGCTCCATCTTGTTTGGGAAAGTCTTTTCACTGTCACACCTAAATTCTCCATCAGCAATTCCCAACGATGTGTAGAAACCGAAAAAAAGGAATACACTCTCTCCAATGTTCCAAAAAAGGTCACACAGGAAACAACACTTCCAAATGCGTGCACCCCACATAGGTTCAGGGAATGGTTTGCACATGGCATAAACAAAGCCTTGGGATTAATCTCTTTTATTTTTGCCTGAACACCACCATGAATCCCTGCCATAGTTGCAGCATTATCATATCCTTGACCACGGCAAAGGCTTATTGTCATGCCAAAAGCATAAGTTGGTGTTTGATTTAATGATATATGTTAAGAGTTGTTTTTTTGTAAACCTTGGGATGACATTTATTGTGGTCTTTGATCTGGCACCAGGCCTAGACCATAAAACATCTAGATAGCCATCACCTATCTGCCCACTGATTAACAACTAGTTTAGATATATTAATGAGGGTACAGGGGCGGGCTGGGCCGGGGGGCAGGGAGGCAATTGCCCCCCAGGCCGCCCTAAATTCTGTTAGGACCGGCCGCTGCAGGGCCGGGCCTTTAAATGCTGCAGCCGCCTGAGCGCTCTGTTAAGGGGGGGGAAGGAGAGGTGCAGGGGGGGAGGAGAGATGAAGGGGGAGGAGGAGGGGTGAAGGGGAGGAGAGGTGAAGGGGAAGGAGAGGTGAAGGGGAGGGGAGGAGAGGTGAAGGGGAAGGAGAGGAAGGGGAGGGAGGAGAGGCAGTGAAGGGGAAATGAGAGGTGAAGGGGAGGGAGAGGGAGGAGAGGTGAGAAGGGGGAGGAGAGGTGAAAAGGGGGGGGGGGCTGAGAGGTGAAGGGGAGGAGCAAGAAGGGGTAGGAGAGGTGAAGGAGGGGAGGAGAGAGGTGAAGGGGGGAGAGGAGAGGGTGAAAAGGGGAGGAGAGGTGAAAAGGGGGGGAGGAGGAGGTGAAGGGGAGGAGAGGAAGAGGGGGGGAGGAGGAGGTGAAGGGGAGGAGAGAGGTGGAGGGGAGGGAGGAGAGGTGGGAGGGGAGGGAGGAGAGGTGAAGGAGGGGGGAGAGTAAGTGAAGGAGGGGGAGTAAGAAGAAGGGGGGTATGAAAAACGGGGGGTAAGAAGAACAAGGGGGGAGTGAGAAGAACACAAGTAGGAGGGGCGAGAGTAAGGGTGAGGAGAAGGGGAGATGAGGAGAGGGGGATACTGAGAAGAACACAGGGAGGGTGGGTGGTGAGGAGAACACAGGGAGGGGGAGGTGAGAAGGACACAGGGAGGAGAGCGGATAAGAAGAACACAGGGAAGGGGGAGGTGAGGAGAACACAGGGAGGGTGGATGAGAAGAGTACAGGGTGGGGGAGAGGAGAGACCACTAAGGGGCAGGGGAGAGATCTAAGGGACAGAAGGGACAGCTCTACAGGACAGGGGGCAAGACAGGGAGCTCTTTCACACTACGCGCACACACACACACACATATACATACAC